GGCTACCAGAGCCAAGCGGCGGCGCTGCCGGGGAACATGGCGGACCCTCTTTCCCTACAGAGGGGCTAAGACCGGCATGCACTGCGCGTGCGGGGGTGGGGGCGGGGTAGGCTCTAGGGACTTGGGCAAAATTACTGAGGCTAGGAGAGAAACAGGACGAGGCCAAGGGATCAGGTTAAAATTCTTTGCATGCGGAATCAAGAATGAGGAGATGGGGCAAGTCTGTAGCTAGGTGCTGCGATGAACGACTGCGAGGAAACACACCCGCTCTCATGGCATTCCCATTAAACTGAGGAGACGTGATTAAACCTCAGGATCTCCTACTAATAGAGAAACAAATGTATAACGATTTAGTTACTAGATCTGAATACTAAAGGGTTGGCAGGGGACCACAGAATAGAGGAAGCATTGTAGGTTCTAGAGTGGAGAAAGGACCATCCAAAATGCAGTTTGAAAGAGAATTCTGGCCTTTGTGTTTAGAGTCTGGAATTGTCAAGAGTCTGAAGGCACAGAATAAGAATGCAGCTAGAGCAATTTCAGCGCCACAGTTTGTCAAAACAGGTAAGGGGAAGAAAGAAGATGACACCAAGAGATGTGCAAAGAATCTGAAGAATTCACCTGAAAAGGACACAGCCTCCTCCTGGAAGGCAGAGGAGTAAATAGGGAATTGGAAATTAATTCCTTATTTCTGTGCATGCACAGAACCTGGGCCCAGGTGATTATGGACCCTTTATAGAGACCAAGGTGACTGACATTCATGGGAAAGGGGGTAGAGGGAAAAGAATTGACTGTTTATCAAAAATTATTAGACGAGTGCATCCACGACACCAGGAGATATGTTGAATCATGGACAGGGACCAGCAAGTCCACTAAGCTGTATATATCTTGATGGTGCAGGATCCAAGTGGGATGGAACAACAAATTCCTGCCCATCGTCCTGCTCAATAATACATGTGCTCAGAATCTGTTCATAATGGATGGTGATAAGTAAGTAGTAGCCCGAAGGTCTCAAAGAGTACCTTTCCACCTCTTCTTTGTGTCAGTTTCAATCCTGAGACCCGAGGTGAAAGACGAAGGGAAAGACCAACAATGGGTATTTTCCAAAAAGGGAACCCACAAGCTATTATTTAGAGGGAAGAGTCTCAGGAGTGAGGCACGGGTGAAAATGGATTTTTCTGGCATGGAAGGGCCATAACACTACAGGGGAAGGGAAAGGGTGAGGTCCCCATGGAAGGAGAGGAAGGAACAGGAGGCATGTCACAAACTTATAAGATAGAGGAAAGGCACCCAGAGTACATCGATCAGGAGTGAGTTTGTAAGAAGAGCTTGAATCCCCAGAAAATCTCCCTAAGGAGGGGAGGAAGGAAGGAAGTGTATAATGTACTGAGTACTGAATGCTCTATCAGGAAAGGGATGGGAAACATCCTAGCAGCAATAGTAAAAAGGACAGGCACCCTATTTTAGGACCCATTGATTCCCACCTTGATTGTATATCCTTCAACTCCTCTCTGGCTCCTCACTTCCACTCAGTCAAAAGCCACTTCATATATTTATCTAGGCCTCCCCGCCCCAGTACAAAAAAAGCAAGAGCATACAAAGGGAAGAATGACAAGGAATTAAATAGAACTATCTTATAGATTTATTAATGAAAAATACTTTACAAAAACAGTATGTTTGGCCTAAAATAGTTCAGCTGATTCTGAGGGTTCACAACAACAACTGAGCAAGTGGTAATAATGGCTGTGCTGAGGACAGAAGGCTGTGTTAGTGTGCCTGACTCCATCTGTTCAAAAGGGTGGATGTTATGTTGGCAGCTCCGCATTCTAGGCCTAAGGTTTGGAGGGCACAAGGAATGCTGACAGGCCATAATACCTGGGCAGGGGGCTGCCCTGATGATGTAATCAGAACCATGACCACAGGGCTACATGTCCCCCCAAGGATGGGAGATAGGGAAGACAAAGGGTCAGGTAATAGGGATAGGTGGATAAAACAAAGAGTAGAAGTTGGGAATATAGTAGGGAACAGAGGACAAGGGCTCAGGTGGAGGTGGGGACATAAAGCATCCAGGAATAAAATGTGACCTTAAGATCCTAAGGAATGGGTAGTATCCAGAGTAATACCATGGATTCATCTTTAAAGTGGCTCAGATAAAACCCTTAAACAGCAGCTGCTTCCTTTTGCTAGGGGGAATGGAAGTTGGAATTTCAAATATCCCCTCCCAAAGAATCAGGTCTTTTTAGAGGTTCCTGACACCCTTAGGAGAACCCACCAATTCTATGTTGAGATAAGAATAGCACAACCATGGCAGTAATGCAGGGTACCAACGCTGCCACAGTACAGTTTTTTTGTTTTGTTTTGTTTTCCGAGACGGAGTCTCACTCTGTTGCCAAGCTGGAGTGCAGTGGTGCGATCTCAGCTCACTGCAACCTCTGCCTCCCGGGTTTAAGCAATTCTCCTGCCTCAGCCTCCCAAGTAGTTGGGACTACAGGCATGCACCATCACGCCTGACTAATTTTTTGTATTTTGGTAGAGACGGGGTTTCACCATGTTGGCCAGGATGGTCTCAATCTCCTGACCTTGTGATCCACCCGCCTCAGCCTCCCAAAGTGCTGGGATTACAGGCGTGAGCCACCGCGCCTGGCCCACAGTACAGTTTTACATAGAAAGGTGTAGCTCCAGGAAAGGAAAGGAGTAACCTTTACCATTGACTGTGCTGCAGGACTCTAGCCCTGATCTGCTCTCTTCTGGAGGCATCTGATAGAACAAACAGAAACCCTTCTCCCACTGTCCTCCTGTGTCCAGAGCGGGAGGCATAACTGCTTTGCCTCCAGTCGTCATCTGGGGGCATATCTACTCTTCGAGGACCAGGGGTTCGGGACCCTGGAACAGGATCTGAATTCCAATCTGACCTCCGGGGTACATGAAGACTGCTAGATGGTGGGTACACAGGATGAACAATGGGAGGGTGGGAGGGTGAATGGGAAAGATCACCCCAGGACTGAGCGTGAGGAACCTGAAGGCCCTTGCTTCTTTCTGGTAGTGTGGCAGTGTAGGTTAGCTGAGGATTGCACCCTGGAGTAGTCAGGAATCTGGTCCCAATATGCTGGCTGGTCTCTGACCAGGGTGCCCAGGAGGTGTCTGTTCTGGAACGATGGGGGAGGCTCTGGTAATTCAAAGTCCTTCCTGTGTACTTGGCCCCTTGGGAAGTTTCACCCCTGTCACACATAGCCAGAAACTGCTGGACACTCCTCGAAGTTCCTGGGGAAAGAAAAGAAACCCAAAGACTGAGCATCTTCAGAATACCATTCTTCCCAGAGAGCCGTGCCTAGCTGTTTAGCCCAATTCCCTACCAAGAGCATACACACAAGGGAAAGAAGGAACCAAGCTGTGCTTTTGATTCCATTTTTTAAAATTCCTAATATACATCAAAATCAAATATCATACTTCCAACCTGGGCAAATGAAACAGTCTCATGGATGTTGCCATACCTCTACCTCCCTCCACTATAATCTCTTATCCACTATACACACGCATACAAAAGGAGGGCTCCCTAATATATAGCAATATATAGCAAACGTATATTCCGTTTGTGATGGCTATACTTCTAGAACCACCATACCAAAACCTCACTCAGCTTTTCTTTTTTAAAAAAATAGAGATGGGATCTCACTGTGTTGCCCAGGCTGGTCTCGAACTCCTGGGCTTAAGCAATCCTCCCATCTTGGCCTCCAAAGTGCTGGGATTACAGGTGTGAGACACTGTGCCTGACTTTTTTTTGTTTTTTCCAACTTTTCTTAAAATGTTATCTTCACTTCAGTTAAGCTGCCTTCGTTTGATCTCTGAGATCTAATGTGGAATGCCTTTTCTTATACATTTATTCAACTTTGGCACTGTTAATATCTTGAGCTGATAATTCTTTGTTGGGGTTGGGAAGAGACTGCCCTGTGCATTGTGTGACATTTAGCAGCATCCCTGGCCTCTACCCACTAGATACCGGTAGTACATCCCCTTTATCTGCTGAGAACCACTGCCTCAAGCTTGGACATCCAGCGCATGAGGGGAAAAAAGAGAACATCTCACTTGGAAGGTCAAAGAAAGCCAAAATGATGTTGCCCACCTTCCCCACAATTGTCTGGGTCTGTACACACGGTGTGGGTACTCCATGTATAGGGTCTTTCCAATTCTCCCACTCATTCCTTGTCTTCCTAGACCATCCCTCAGCTGAGACTCAGAGGACAGAAGGAGAGAAAACTAGCTGATAGAGATGACCATTTCTGTTCTGGGGGTGTCCCAAAGACTGGGTATTAACTCCCCTTTGTCAGTTAAAAGCTTATTCTATCATGACTGAAGCAGTTCATTCGCATAAGTAGACAGACTCTAGGGGTGCTGGTCTAGACCCTTGGTCTAAGAATCATGGTGCCCAACAAATGATTTAATATTTATCTGGATCAATGCACGACTTTGAAGCAGTAATTCATACCCTCACACCACTCTACCTTGGGATACCCCCCTCCCCATAGGTATACTGATTTGACCCTATGAGGCCCCTGAAAAGGTATCAAATTCTGGCATATAATATTAGATTTGGGGGAGTTACCTGGGAGTCTATGGGGCTCCCCTGCCACGCTGGGCATCAGGACATCTGGGGACAGGAACTGTGGTTGGGGAGGGTAGAGTTGGGGACCGAGGAGAAACACAGAAGGGTCATGGATGACAGGGAGGGAAGAGGAGCTGGAACAACGGTGCCCGGTTTCCAAAGGCTTCCTCACGTTTGATGAATCCTTATAATGAGACAAGACAAAAAAACATAGAGATGAGGATTAACACAAAGCAGGATGTAGTTGGGTAAACACAGTGAGGCAAGCAAAGGGAAATGGAGGGAACCAGAGCACAAACATGCCTACATGCCTTGTTCTGCAGTAGGACCCAATTTATTCAGTCACTCTCCCTGCCAGCCCTCTAAGAAACTGCAAACTTCAGATCCTTATCCCTTAACCAGTCCTCCTCATATCCCTCACCTTCCCAACCCTACCATTCAGGTCTTTAGCAAACTCCTTAATGCTAACAGTAGAATTAGAGAGATTGAGATAGAAATTTAAAAATAAAAACAAAATATGAGAAATTCAGAAAGCCTGAGAGAATGAGAAAAAAAAAAAAATCCTTATTCTAAGTACTGGGAATAAAACTATATATGTTTAAATGTAGAATCAAGAACTCTACCCCATCTTCTCTCCTGTCACTGCTATACATTCCACAGCTTCCTCTTTTGCCTGTCAAGTTTGTATTTACTGATGCTTATGTCCTGCTCTATTCCCTATTAATTATCTACTTTTATGATAAATACCCAGAAATATTCCCCTTTAATATCTGAAACAGTAGCATATCCAAAATTGAACCAAAATCCTTCCAAACTCCTCCTCCTGGTACCTCATTTTCCTAAATCACCCATATTCAAACATTGGCAATGACCTTGATTTCCTACTTCGCATCCACAGTTCCATTACTTGCCAAGGACTATCATTTCTACCTATGGGTTTTATATTTAAATTCACCTGGACTACTGCAACAGCCTTCAATCTGCTCTTCCTATCTCCTATCCACTCCTTACCATGGTCTACAAGGTCCTATGTGATATGGCCCTACTGCTCCTCACTTTATTTCCTATCATTCCTGGAGCTTTTACACTCTAATTTTAATGTTCCTCAAACACACCAAGCTCATTGCTACCTCAGAGTCTTTATACTTACTGTTTCTGTTACCAAGAATATTCTTCTGATGGCTCACACCTTCATATCACTGAGGTCTCTAATCAAAAGTTACTTCCTTAGAGCTGATTTCCCTCACTACCCTACTATCAGGAATAGCCCTCAAAAAAAACACTATTACCTCTTTACTCCTTATTCTCTTGCCTTATTTTATTATTCTTTATCATACTTATCATTGTCTGGCATTATATCATTTATTTGTTTATTGTCTTTCTCCCCTATTTCTTTTTACTTCAGTATCCCTAGCACCTTGAACAGTGCCTAGAACAATGTGGGCACTTAGTAATAATACGTTAAATAAAATAATCTATATGCCAGTATGTCTAATTTCCTTTACGAGACTGCAAGCTACTCAAGGGCAGAATTTGTGTTGTTTCATCAGTGTATGCTCACAGCACCTACCACAACATGGCACAAAATAAGCATTTATCATACCGCCTAAGGACCAGGTGCCACTCCTCTCAGCATGTGACATAGCTAATTACTCCTTTCTTCTTGAAACATTCTCCCCTTGTTGCCTATGGTACCACACATCCCTGGTTTCCCTTCAGTCTCTCTAGTCTTTTTTTCTCAGTCTCCTTTTAGGGTTCTTCAAAAGAAGAACCACCTTAAATCTAATGCTCTTTAGGGATATGTCCTGGCTCCTCTTCTCTTTCTGCAAGTATTTTCCTCTTTTCAATGGGTATGATTCCCAAATTTCAGTTTCTAGCTTATATATCTCATTCCAAAAGCCTGCCAGATATCTCCACTCAAGCTTAATATATGCAAAACTGAATACATATCTTCCCTCAAATATATCATTATCTAACCATAAAACTTGAGTATCATCCTTTACCCCCTCTCCCAACATCCAGGCAGGCACCAACTCCCACCGATGTTTACTTCCTAACTGGGTCTCAAATACGTCGACTTATCTCTATCCTTCCAAACTACCTACTGTGACATACAGGGCTGTCTGCGGTCCATAATATTCTTTGTATCCTCTCGTCAACACTCTCCATCATCTCCCCTCACCAGACTTTCTAATCCTGCCATACTAAATAAGCTTATTTTAATTCAGTTAATATTTGCTCAGGTCCCTTTTACCTGCTATATTCTTTTTGCTTCCTCCAGGAAGCCTTCCATGATACCTCAAGCCTGATTTAAATGTCCCTTCTATTATGTTCCCATAGGATCAAATCCTTAATACATTATAATTGTTTATTTATCTGTCCTTCACTGTAGACTGTAAGCTCCATAAAAGCAGGGACTACATCTAATTCACCATTGTATCTCCAGCACCTAGCACAATACCTAGAACACACTCAATAAGCACTTATTTATTTGTTTATTTTTGTGTTAGGAATCTTGTGACAGAATCAGTAAGTATTTATTTAAAAGAATGAATCAATGAATGATACAGAAGTCAGAAGAAAGGAAGCCAATTCTCCTTGGAAAATAACAATTTGCCATTAAATGAATTGAAAGTACATGAGAACAAATGCTAGGCAGGAGAGTCCACCTTTTCCAAAAAAGAATGGCAGCCTGATCAGAATTGTTTAGGAATTTATGAACAATAAATTGAATGAATCTTATTATAAATTCAGCTGAGTTTTTCTGTTTGTTTTGTTTTGTTTTTGAGACAGAGTCTTGCTCTGTCGCCCAGGCTGGAGTGCAGTGGCTCAATCTCAGCTCACTGCAACGTCTGCCACCCAGATTCAAGCGATTCTCCTGCCTCAGCCTACTGAGTAGCTAGGAGTACAGGCGCCCCCTCCCACCATGTCCAGCTAATTTTTATATTTTCGCCATGTTGGCCAGGCTGGTCTCGAATTCCTGACCTCAGGTGATCCACCGTCCTCGGCCTCCCAAAGTGCTGGGATTATAGGCATGAGCCACCACGTCTGGCCTCGGCTGATTTTTAAAAATTAGAAAAATGAGTACCTCTTAGGAGGGAAACTGAATCTGAAGAGCTGGTAGAAGACAGACTTGGTTTTCACCATATATGCTTTTATACCTTTTTATTTTTGTACCATGTATTTAAAACCTGTTTTTACATTTTTCCTGAACTGACCTAGTGGACAACCTTCAGTGCACTGGTACTTTGTACCCTGACCTCTACTGTAATGAAAACTCAACTTGGGCAAGGAAGTGAAATTCTCCAAAGGTATGATTACCTACAGACCTAGCCACTGATATTATTTAAGTCTGTTGATCTCTAATGGCTTGGGCTTTCCTGCCCCTTCTGCCTACACATTACTGCATTAGTACCATATGAAAATTCGCAAGGCTTTTTTCTTTTTCTTGCTGATGCACATGCTTCACTTTAGATTGAAAACACACTGAATTCTATTCAATCACATACTGGGGGTGAGGGGAAAAAGCAAACCAATACCGCATCCCATTTCTTTCCTTCTTCCTTTGATTAGTGCAGTGGCTTCTGACCCAATCAGCAGCCTTTGCTTCTCAGATTCCTCTCAAGGCCATTATGACTCTTCTCACCCTAGGAAACCCTACAACACACACAGCCTTTCAGAACTGCTACAGGGAATGGACATTCCTCCGGGCTCCAACTGAATGTTTGTAAATAAAATAATGACTGCGTGTCCTTATTTTCGCTGAGTACACAGGGCTTTTCCTCACACTACAACCTTCACTTTCTCCCTGCTTCTTCACCTGCACTGTATTTTTGCTTAGCAAGGAGGAAGGTGCTCTGAATAGATGGACCCTGATTCTACTTACAAAACTGTGGGAAGAAACTGGAGCTTCCTCCCTCTCTGAGACAACGGTGCCACTGAGACTGCGTGAGATGCGACGTAAGTTCTCTGCACTGTACTGCTCATCCTCCCCACACTCCCTGCTGAGGCCTCGGCAAGGTGTAGCCTTCAAACACACAGACACATACAGGCAGACACATAATACCAGACTTATGGTTTTCCCACAGACACTATCCTCAGGGTATGGGAAAGAATAGGGGAAGACTCAGTAGTAATAGACACCTGAATTACATGTATTGGTAAGATAGTGGCCATGTAAAAATCTCCTCTAATTCAAAAGAAGCCCAATCATAGACCTTATTTTCTTCTGATAGCCCCATATCACCATGCCTCTGCCTTATCATCATCCCTACCAGACATATCTTTCCATAATTCCTTCCCCAACACACCACCCCAGGCCCAGCACCTTAGCACCTGAGGCTGCTACCTGAGAAGTACACACTGTTCTGGCTTCATGGAGACTCTGCTCCATTTCTGCTGTTGGAGTCTTCGAGAGACCAGGATCAGGGGCTGAGTGCAACCTCCTCCCCATGCCATCTGCAGAGCCTGAAGAGGAAAACATAAATACAAGTTGAGGCTGTTTCTTCTGCTAGGGCCTAACCTCTAAGCCTAGCAGCACAAACTCAGGAGTTGTTGTTTCACTAAATAATAAATATGCATTCCTGAATTCAACGGGGGGACATGCTCCTGAAATTTAGAAACAAGAGGGGCCAGACGTGGTGGCTCACGCCTGTAATTCCAGCACTTTGAGAGGCCGAGGCGGGTGGATCACAGGCCAGGAGATCGAGAACATCATGGTTAACACAGTGAAACCCCATCTCTACTAAAAATACAAAAACTTAGCCGGGCATGGTGGTGGGCACCTGTAGTCCCAGCTACTCGGGAGGCTGAGGCAGGAGAATGGCGTGAACCCAGGAGGTGGAGCTTGCAGTGAGCCAAGATCGTGCCACTGCACTCCAGGCTGGGCGACAGAGTGAGAGTCCGTCTCAAGAAAAAAAAAAAAGAAAGAAACAAGAATTTTAGAATATGGATAGTTTACTGAATGTCCCCATCTTGCTTCATTTCATTTTTGTAAACATAATCAGCTTCTGTCAGACTTGGGCTCAAGACTTACAGACAGAGGAAATTATCTAACACAGTGATTTTCTGAAGTATCTGCGGTGACAAAAGAAATTATCTCCAGTCTAGTTCAGAACTGAAATGATCAAAATAATCATCTATCAAACCTCCTCATTTTATATAACAGGAAAATGAGTTCCAGGGTCTGACAGTTTAGTAGTTTAACCAGGATTAAAACTCTCTTGATTTTCAGCACAGTACTCCAGCATCATCTCACCTGGTGACCTCTTGTACTCTGAGCAGGAGCACCTCAGGAATGTTTTACACATGTAATGCTCTTTTCCCCTTACCTTCTCTCAAATCATTTAAATTCTAAATAACCACTAAATGCTTACCTCTCTTCAAAACCTTTCTAGATTGTTCAGAGTTGCTCTAAACTGGATTGGTGACTCCCAAGGGGCTAACCCCAATCCAGCTAATTAAGTTTTCCATTCTGAAACTGTATATGCCCTTGACCTACATTTGATACATATGTCCATGGCCAATTCATGTCTTGATTTGATGATGTGATTCTAATATATCTATATCTGGCTGAAGCTGATATTATTCACGTAAGTACTGTAAGACCAGTTATTTTCAGTATTCCTGGGTACTTAAATGCAGTGCTTTCAATACCACCTCAGATTCATCTGGGAACTTTTAAAAATATAGCTTTCTGGATGTTACCACAGACCTGAATCAGAAAGTTTGTGGTTGGTGCCTGGGAATTTTCATTTTTGAAAGGTTCCTAAAAAGTCCAAGAAAATATCCTTGGCCGGGCATGGTGGTGTACACCTGTAATCCCAGCACTTTGGGAGGTTGAGGCGGGCGGATCGCGAGGTCAGGAGATCAAGACCATCCTAGCTAACATGGTGAAACCCCATCTCCACTAAAAATACAAAAAATTAGCTGAGCGTGGTGGTGGGCGCCTGTAGTCCCAGCTACTCGGGAGGCTGAGGCAGGAGAATGGTATGA